GCCACAGCCATGTCTGTCCGAGTCCAAAGAATATTACAGAATGGGCAAGAATGGGAAAACGGACAAGCATGCTGCCACAGCCATGTCTGTCCGAGTCCCTCATTGTAGTTTTGATTTGCATTTCTGTAATGGCTTATGATCATGAGCATTTCCTCATGTGTCTGTTAGTCATCTGAATGTCTTCTTTGGTGAAGTGCCTGTTCATATCCTTTGCCCATTTTTTAATTGGATTGTTTGTCTTTCTGTTGTAGAGGTGTTGAATTTTCCTATAGATTTTGGAGATTAGACCTATGTCATAGCCAAAAATTTTTTCCTAGTCTGTAGGTTCTCTTTTTACTCTTTTAGTCACATCTTTTGATGAGCATAGGTTTTGAATTTTCAGAAGATCCCAGTTAGCTAGCTCATCTTCTGGTGTTTGTGTATTTTTAGTTATGGTTTGTATACTATTTATGCTGTATGTTAGGGCTCCTAACATTGACCCTATTTTTTCTTCCATTATCTTTATAGTTTTTTGTACCCAGATTTCTTGACTGCTGTTTCTGTGGATGTTGGTTGTTGATCCAAGTAGAATGAAATCATTGACAACTTCAATTTCTTTTCCGTTTACCATGATGATGTTTTAAAAAGTTTTTTTAAAATACTTTTTAAAAAATCTTAAAGAAGTTTAAGAAAGTTTTATAAATCAAAGATATCACTTTGATGACTAAGGTGCAGCTGACCCAAGCCGTGATCTTTTCAGTCACCTCATATGCATGCGAAAATTGGATAGTGAAAAAGGAAGACAAAAAAATGGATGCATTTGAGCTGTGGTGTTGGTGAAGAATATTGAAGATACTGTGGACTTCCAGAAGAACTAACAAATCAGTCTTGGAAGAAGTATAACCAGAATGCCCCTTAGAAGCGAGGATGGAGAGACTTCAGCTTGCTTAATTTGGACACCTCATCAGGAAAGAATAATCGCTGGAAAAGGACATCATATTTGGTAAAGTAGAGGGTCTGCAAAAATGAGGGAAACCCTCAGTGAGGTGGATTGACATGATGGCTACAATGATAGACTCAAACACACCAATGGTTATGAATATGGTGCAGGTCTGGGCAATCTTTTGATAAGAGTGTCATGAGTCGGAGCCAACTCAACAATAAAGTAGTACCCAGAGCATGCCTTGGACTTCTACTCCTCTTTGTTTGTTCATGTCCCCTCTTTCTAGAGTGGACTTGTCATCTCCCTTGTCTTTCTCATAAAATCCTACTCCTACAAGAATCAGTGTGTACTTGGTACGTATCAGACTAAGTTTGCCTCCTCTTGAACTATGGGGCAGTGGATTACTTTGTGTGGCCCTTCTAGCCATGGTCTTTGTGACTCCCACAAAATGATTAGATGGGACTATGCAAATAAGGTGTTTGTGGCCCACTAAAGGGGATCGGACACTTGCTAATAATGCAAATAAAGTGTATGAAACACTTGCAGGAGTGGGACCATGCAAATAAGGTGTATGGAACCCTAGCAAGGGGATTGGTTAGTTTTGCCACTCACCTAAGCTTAAAGGGAGCCGATCCCAGAAGCAGAGGGGGGACTTCAATACCGTCACGAAGAAGAAGAACTGGGAGTGGAGCATGTCCTTGGACCCAGGGTCCCTGTGCTGAGAACCTCCTAGACCCGGGAGATAGAGAGAGAGCTCTAACACCAGAGATGATGTGAGCTGGTGAGAAATGGCGGCAGAGAAGTAGTTACAGCAGAACTAGGAGATTGGAGTGAGACAGCACAGTAAACTTTCTATCCCATGGATTGAGGTGGCTACAGTGGTATGCTGACCCATGGAGGGAGAGAGCTGAGTGCCTTTGGGCAGGGGGCTTGCTGATGGAGTGAGGTGCCTCTGGGCACTTGTTGGTGGAGCTGAAAAGCTGTAACACTTGCCCAATCAGGGCAGAGACCAGGCCAAGGGGCCCAGGAGGGCCCAAAGGTCCGAGAGCCCAGAGAGAAGCCTGCCTGTGGGCACAGCTGAGAAGAAGCTGTCTTGATTGAAGAACTGTATCCTGAGTTGTTCCTGATCCTGAATTGTAACCTGTTAATTTTCTAGTAAACCCCGTAACTGTGAGTATGGTCTGTGAGTTCTGTGTGGCCATTGCAATGAATTATTGAACCCAACAGAGAAGTAGAGAGTGCTGTGGGGGTGAAGACTGATGTCAAAATTGGTAAAAAGGGTGGAGAGAGAGGAGATTATGTCTGACTTCTGCCTCATAGGAATCAGCCTTGGGCTGATGATCTTGATTCTCTCTCGTGAAGTTAGACGAGGGCGTCTGGCACCGCCATGCCATTTTTACATGAACCATTCTCCAGTCCTATAGGCAAGACTAATTTATCCCTCTTCTGTGTCCCCGTAACAGTCTTTCCAAACATAAATCCAATAAAATGAGGCATATGATAGTAATGCCCTTTTCCTCTTTAGACTTTGGATCCCATTGGAGGGTATGGATATGTCTTTTCCTTTGGAAATTTATCACAGTGTTCAGTATATAATTGTTCTCAAGTACCATTTAATTTGACCTGAATAATTATGGAGGGATTGAAAGTGCTCAAGAAATACCCAGGATGAGATAATTTATCCCAATTGGAGATTCTGGGGAAGTTTTTATGGGGAAGTAGTTTTGAGATGAAACTTAAAGAATAAGAGAAAATTTAGTAGGCAGAGTGATATCAAATATTGAAAATTTTTAATGATAAATTCTTCATTTTTTTAGTATTTTGATGCAACCTTTTAAATTTTTTTAAGAAGGCAGAAGAAAACACTGTTTATTAAAAGGCAGATTCCACTGATTCAGATTCTAGTGAATTTCTTGTACCTGTGGACTTACTGCATATAAATCTTATTTATAGTTAAAACGTTACTTATGTTGTTACGGTTGTTAGGTGCTGTTAAGTCGATTTCCAACACAAAGCAACCCCATGTGACAGAATAGAACTGCCACATAAGATTTCCAAGGCTGTAATCTTAACAGGAGCAGATTGCCAGGTCTTTCTCCTGCAGAGCTGCTGGGTAGTTTCAGACTGTCAACTTTTCAGTTAGGGCTTATCCGTTTCTCCACCAGGGCTCCTTAATTACCCATAGTGCACTAATTTTACATTTTTATATAACATTTTACTTCATTAGGAGCTTTAATAATGTTTCTTTTCTCAAAGACTCTTTGGATGAAATTGAAAAACAATTTCAGTGTATTTGCTTATATTGTATCCATCAGAAAGCACAGAGAAAATAATTCATGTTATTAATTCCTCTTCTATAAAACAGTAAAACATTGCATTTCGAGAACAGTTGACATCCCTGGAGTAGAGCTAGTAATCGCTAATAATCATGACCCCTCTTTAGAAAACCATTGAGAAGCTGGAATTTTTACTGGAGACAATTCCCAGTTAATTACAGCCCCTCACCAATCTATCCCATAATTTCCTGGAACGTTAAATACAGAATGATACTACATATCTTCCGGTCAAATCCTTTTATTTTATAGATACGGAAACTGAGGTCAGGACGGATGAGGTGACTTTTCCAGAGTCCCCATAACTAGTTAGTGCCCAGAGCCTGAGCTGGACTACCTCCTGTCTCATGGTCCTATGTTATTGTCCGTCTCCCCCATTGTGTTTCTGACCCAAGATGATATAATTTACACACCACGTTTGCATTGTAGTACGTCTCTTTTACATTCAGTTAATCGTGCCAAGATGGTTTACTTTTTCATCTGTTCCAGTAATGTCTGTTTTCACCTTTATGTATTGAAAGCTTTGTGTGATACATCTGTAAAATGTTGTGACTTGTAAAGTAATATAATCTATAGCAGATTCATGCTGTCTTCATGTTCACCTTAATTGTGACAGCGATTGAGAAGCTTCAAGTTTTGTTCTGTACCATCTGAGGATATGCCTTCTTAATCCAATTTTGGGGCAGAGACTTACAAAAATTTTTGAAGGTTGCCAAAATTTTAGCTTGTTACCTAGTCATATAGGACAGAATACTGTATAAGACCACAGGAATATCTTGAAGGTAAATATGGATCATTAAGATGCCTTATGGTAAGGCTTGTTGCTATGCTTATAAATCTAAAATGGTGCCATGGCTATTACTGATGCTTCCTTTGCTTGTTTCCACATAATTTGACTCTAGAATTGGTTATGGAAAAAGGTTTATAAGTGGTCTAAACATTGAAATATATTTGGTACTGATTTGCTTACTTGAAGGGAATTTACCGTTTTAAATTAATACAGCTTTTGAAACACAGAGAAGGAAAGAACTCAACCACTGATCTTTGCGTCGTATTACGTTCTTGATGTGTGTTTCTTCTTTTCTTTGATTTAGGTGAAATATTTATTTTCTGACAAAACTGGAACTCTTACATGCAACATCATGAACTTCAAGAAGTGCAGCATTGCAGGAGTAACCTATGGGTGAGTGTCTCTATTGCTTATTGAAAAATTCATTTTTGTTCTTCCAACAAAACAAGTTTATTTGTAGCCACTTAGTCAATTACCTTGACTTTCTCATATTTTGAAGGGATATTTGTAAGGGATTTAGATATGTAGTTATTATTGAATGTGTTTGATATTTAATGATCTCAAATGAAACTTTGAACAACTAAAAGATGATTTATTTCTGCCAATATTAACTTAGAAATCCCAGGGAATCAAATAAGTAAGTTTATATTTAAGTAAGTTAGTTTATAAATAAGTAAATTTATATTTCTAATTTAGTTATTAAAAATTTCTTACTCGGGTAAGAAATCTTGGTCCCTGAATGGTGCAAATGGTTTGTGCCTGACTAGTAACCCAAAGGTTGGCCATTCAAAATCACCCAGTGACGCCATGAAAGAAAGGCTTGGTGATCTGCTTTCGTAAAGATTACAGCCAAGAAAACCCTGTGGAACAGTTCTACTCTGTAACACATGGGGTCACTGGATGGCAATACCTTATTTTTACACAAATAACGCTCGCCTTTTACGTTTGTTTGCCAACCGCCCCCTTTCCCCCAAGAGGTATTTTCATAAGCACTGCTATGCCAATTTTTTTTTTTAACATGTTACTATAAAAAATTAGCATAGTGCACTTACAAAAATACGGGGAGGGAGCAGCTAGCAAACAAATGTTGAAGGTGCACTTTTTTTATATTATTTGAGTAAAAATATGGTAGATTTGCTTTATGTTTTTGTTTCGTTATTAGTGCCCGTCTTTTGATCACAATTTTGTGGCCACTGTGTTTCCCTCTCTCTGGTAGGCATTTCCCAGAATTGACGAGAGAACCGTCTTCAGAGGATTTCTGGTGAGTAGATTCTAGTAGTTATTGACACTTTGGTGGAAAAGGCTTTGGAATGTTTTCATATTGGCATTTCTCATCTGAACTAAAATCTGGATATATATTGAGAGAGAACCAGAATAATATTTAAACGTGAACATGGCTTTCAAAGTCCAATAATACTACAAGACTTTTAAGAAAATAGCCAGCCTCTGGCTCAATGCTTCCCACCCATTTCCTGCTTTGTAGAGGCAGTCAATGTCAACTTTTTGGGTTCTTTATGGAATATTTATTTCTATATTTCAAAATAATGAACTAATTTTTAAAACTGAAAACAGTTTTTGACATGTCTCTAGACTTTCTACCATGGAAAATGAGGGTGTAGACCATCCCCTGCGTGTGACTGTTTCTCTCTCTCCCTTTGGAAGCATTTAAGGTTTTCTGTGTATCCTTGGTGTAGACAATACCCCATGTGCCGTGGTGCAGGCTTGCTTTTCTTCATTATGTTGGCAGTTAGTGGGCCCTTTCTATCTGGAAATTTTCTTTTATTGATTCTTGGAAATGTCCTTGTATCATTTCTATGATAATTTTTCTCCCCTCCAACTTCTCTGTTCCCTCTGGAGGTCCTATTAGTAAGATATTGGGGTGATCCTCCAATGTTGTCACCTTGCTCCCCCATTTCTGTATTTTTTTCCAGATAGTTCCTCAACTTGATTTTCTATTTTCTGTAGTGAGATTTTATTTTAATTTAGTTTTCAGTTTCAAAGGCATTCTCATAGCCTTGCCCTTGCATTGCCTGTTTCCATTTCCCCCTTCTTTCCATGGTGTTTTTGGTTTCTTACTATGATTTTAGAGGCTTTCTTCAAAGGCCTGGTGCTCATGGGCTGTCTGTTCCTACTTTAAGATTTACACACTAACAAAGCTGATTGGTGGGTCTCTCTGTGTGTATGAGGGATGATGTGGTTGATGTTTGGTTGGCTTCATTATGGGATGACCAACCAGAATCCCATTATTTTATTTGGGAATCCCTGGATGTTAGGGTCTGTGGGTCTCTCTCTTTTTATCTTTCTTTTCTATTATTATTGTACTTTAGATGAAGGTTTACAGAACAAACTAGCTTCTCATTAAACAATTAGTACACATACTGTTTTGTGACATTGGTTACCAACCCCACGACATGTCAGCACTCTCCTTTCTTGACCTTGGGTTCTCAATCACCAGCTTTCCTGTCCCCTCCTGCCTTCTAGTCCTTGCCCCTGGGCAGCTGTGCCCCGTTAGTCTCATTTTGTTTTATGGGCCTGTCTAATCTTTGGCTGAAGGGTGAACCTCAGGAGGGACTTCATTACTGAGCTAAAAGGGTGTCCGGGGGCCATACTCTTGGGCCAGTAAGTCTGGTCTTTTTTTGTGAGTTAGAATTTTGTTCTACATTTTTCTCCAGCTCTGTCCAGGACCCTCTATTTTGATCAGAGCGGTCAGTGGTTGCTAGCCGGGCACCATCTAGTTGTTCTGGACTCAGTCTGGTGGAGGTTGTGGTAGTTGTGGTCCATTAGTCCTTTGGACTAATCTTCCCCTTGTGTGTTTGGTTCTCTTCATTCTCCCTTGCTCCAGGTAGGGTGGGACCAGGAGATATATCTTAGAAGGCTGCTCACAAGCTTTTAAGATCCCAGAGACTACTCATCAAAGTAAAATGTAGAACATTTTCTTTATGAGCTATGTTATGCCAATTGAGCTAGATGTTCGCTGAGACCATGGTCCCCAGCTCTTAGCCCTGTGGGTCTCTCTGGTAGGCTGGCTGGTTTTCTTCTCACGCCTCCTGCCAAGGATTATCAATCTGCCTGCAGCAGTGATGGGAGCTGAGTGGAGGCAGAGGGTTGGTGGTTGTGCCTTTCAGTGTACATAGAATTTTACTTCAAACTCCTTGGGAGAATGCTGTAGCCCCACCTGCATGTGTGCCTGGTGTGCCAGGGTCACTGGGCCTAGGGCTACTCTGACATCTCTAAAGGGCAAACCTTCCATTCTTTTCTGGGTGTGGAAGGTTCAGTTGTCTGGCTGCGTTGGATGAGAGAGTGTTTTGGGGGGTTGAGTCTTTCTCACAAGGATTTGGGACTAGTCCTGTGTTCCGCCTCCCCTTTTCTCACAGTACCTGGTAATGCCATTTCCTCAGCCTTTCCAGGGTTCTGCTGGGGTCACCAGCTGACACTGTAGATGCTCCCTCTTGAAAGCTGCTGCTTTCTGTTTTCTTTGCTGTGCTAAGCTCTGATATTTACTCAGAGCTGAGACTGACATCAACTCTGCTGTTGTCTCCTCTTCTGTTGTTTTTGTCTGCAGGAAGGGTTTCAGGAGGGAGTAGAGATAAATACATATACTGAACCTTCCACATTGTCTTCAGTGTGATAGCACACAGCCTTCATACTACATTTCCTTTCTCATAATCATTAGCCTTCTTCCCTCTCCTACATATGAGCTCTGGCCATAAATGATTGCATATATACAATGCAACATACAATGTGACAGTTATTCTTGTTTTACCTGCTTTGAGCAGGCACTTTTGGAAGTACTCCCTGGTCAGAGTTATCTAGGGACCAGCTAAAATGGCAGAGCCAAGGTGTTGATCCCCAGCTTCTGTTTTCTCTCTTTGTAACTATATTGTTATTTTTAATAACTTATAAAATACCTTAGTTATAGTAAGATTAAGGATTTGTTGTCTCTAAATTTGAAATAATGTAAGTATTGCAATAATTTCAATGTTTAATATCACTCTATGGACTTTTTGGAGTCCTGGTGGCACAGTAGTTAAAAGCTTGCCTGCTAACCCAAAGGTCAGCTGTTCGAATCCACCAGCGCTCCTTGGAAACCCCATGAGGCAGTTCTACTCTGTCCTATAGGGTCGGTATGAGTCAGAATTGACTCGACAGGAATGGATTATAGGCTTTTTAGGTGTGGATCTTCCTGAAGACAGGTTCTTCCTAGGTTTAAGTTATCTAAACAGGACATTTTAAATTGAATGCGTATTTCTATTCTCTCCTCCAGTCGGCTGCCTCCTCCCACTAGTGACTCATGTGACTTTAATGATCCCAGACTATTGAAGAACATTGAAGATCAGCATGTAAGTTCAGCATTTTCATCTGAGGCATCAGATAGCTTAGGGTGCATGTTTTGTTTATGTATTTACATATGTGAGTAATGGCTTAAAAGTCGCAATTTGGGAGTCTAGGGAAGAGATGCAGCCTCAATTGTGCAGTGTCCCCATAATACATTTGCTTAAGATCACTTTCCTGAAGTATGTATTGTGGGGACACTGTACCTAAGTTAGTATAAAGCTGAATTTAAGTAGGTAGTGAAGTAGTTGTTGTAGTTAGCAGTCCAGTAGACTTAGGTTCTGAGCTTCATTTCTACATTTATCAGCTGGTTAATGCTCGGCCAAGTGACTTATCTTTTTCTGCAACCCTTCATTGCTGAGGAAGCACACTGAGGTCAAAATGATTCTCACCACAGAATTCTGTAAGAGTTCAGTTGCTTTTTAAGCTTTCTGTGGTACTGTTTCTTTACATTTATAAATCCAAGTGGACGTGTGTTTTGAAAAGAAATTGAGGTATTCTTTGACTAGGATACTTGTCTTATTTTCCTAGTGCTGCCATGACAAAATACCACAAGCAGGTGGCTTTAAAGAACAAAAATGTACTTTCTCAGGGTTCAAGAGGCTAGAAGTTCAAATTCAGGGGCCTCGGCTCTAGGGAAGCTCTTTGTCTCTTCGGCTTCTGGTAGCTGCTGGCAATCCTTGGCATTCCTGGCTTGTAGATTCATCTGTTGTGAACCAAATTTTCCTATATTTCAGTGGTAAAGCCAGTGAGAGTAGGGGCAGATTAAGGCCTTGTAGAATGGATGTGTAGCCCTGGTGGCACAGTGGTTAAAAGCTTGGCTGCTAACCAAAAGTTTGGCAGTTTGAATCCACCAACTGTTCCTTGGAAACCCTATCCAGCAGTTCTGCTCCGTCCTGTAGGGTCGCTACGAGTCGGAATCAACTTGACAGCAATGGGTTTTGGATTTTAGAATGGATGCCATGACTTGGGGGAGATTATCACGAGCATGGATGAAGACAATGAGAGACTTTTTAGGGTATTTAATAATCTGGATACTCACAGATCATTAAAGGTATAAAAAGGCCATTGGTTGGGAAATTTATCTTCTATTTTTTATTAAAAGCCTACTTGCCTATGTTTTAACATTATTCAGCTTTCCTGGGTCCTTTAAGCCTTCCAGGTATCCTTCATCTTGACTACTGCATTAATTAAACCCTTTGACATGTGCCATCTAACTCCAATAATGAGAAATGTAGACTCCGGTATTTTTCTTTTGGAAAATATATGATTGGACTAAATGTACCCAACTAAAAAATTTTTTTTTGAAGATTAAGGAAAATACTTTATCTTCCAGTTTTATAGGCCAATTTCTAACAATTGGAAACCCTCTGGGGGCAGTTCTACTCTCCTATAGGGTCACTGTGAGTCGGAACTGACTCAGCAGCAGCGAGTTTGGCTTGGTTTGGTTAGGACAGCGTTACTTCTGAGCCCATCATTTCACAGTAGTTGAAATTTTACAATTGTCCCTGAGGCCAAAGTAGTTAGACTTATGGTTCTGTACATTTCAACAGAGATGCAGACAGTTTTACTTTGTTGGCTAGAATAGTCACTGGTTGTAATTTTCTGTTTCTAGAGGAGGTCTGAGGCTTGTCTTTGGGTCACAGTGATAACAGCCTTTCCGTCATTGGTCAGGTTTTGTAGAGCCTTGCATCTCACATACAGATCTTCTTTTAACAGATGTTTTTTAAACAGTTCAAATACAGGGCCTCTTATGATCATTGGTCATTTTGCCATAAAATGATTGGGGCAGGGGGTGGAAGGATTTTAGTCTTTTAGGTTACAGATGTGCCACATTCTTACCTAAATTGTCTTGGGACCATTGACTAAAATTAAAGCATTTGTATCAAGAAAACCCTTCTCTCCCAAGGGAGTATTTCCATTTGCTACAAAATTTTTTTTTTGTCCTGGGTCATCATTTCTGATTTTCTGGGTCCTTTAGTACTGTTTTAAGCTTATGGGCTGCTAGCCAAGGTGAAATTTGGCTTTTAGTTAGAGATTCAACTTAAGTAAAATTTCAAGGAACAATTAATGTTGTCCCTTGATAGCATTGCTAACAAGTGATTTCCTGCTTGTAAGATCAATTTCCAAAGAGTTACCAAGGAAGAAGAAACAGCTTTTCTTCTGGATCATTATGCCTAGGATTCTTTTTTTTTCTTCAGTAGTACACATATTGTTTTATGACACTGGTTAACAGCCCTACAACATGTCAACCCTCTAACTTCTCAACCTTTTTTTTTGGTGAAAGTACACATAGCCAAAGATACACCATTTCAAAAATTTCTACATGCACAGTTCAGTGACATTGACTACGCTGTTCCAATTGTGCTGTTATTCTCACTTAAGATGAAGGCTTATAGAACAAAAGAGTTTCTCATTTAACAGTTACTACAGATGTTGCCCTATGACAATGGTTAACAATCTCACAACACATCAACAATATCCTTACTCAACCTTGGGTTCCCTATCACCAGCTTCCTTGTCTCCTTCTGCCTTCTTATGCCTAGGATTCTTGAGTGTGAATCTTCAAGAATAAATCATTTGTATATGTATATTGTTTGTATACTGCATAGCTGGAATTTGATGTGCAAAACAATTTTTGACATGCACATTTTTCTGCTTTTAAAGTTCATAAAATACATTGAAAATATTCATTTCTAGATACGTAGCAATTTGTATAGATTAAAAAACTAACTTGTAAGAAGATATATCCATACATGTGTCTACATAAAAAACCAGGTGCTCTTGAGTTGTTTCCAACTCATGGTGACCCCATGTGTGTCAGAATAGAAACATGCGAAAACGCTTGTAGAAGGAGAAGCCCAAGATGGCACCTTAGTCAGATACACCATAACATCTTCGTACATCAAAGACTTGAGAAACCAAGTGAAACAGATAAAGATGATGACCTTGGAATCCTGAGCATCAAATGGAAGGCTGAAGAATTAGAGCACTGACTGGCAGGAGAGGCTGAGCTAAAACAGTGGATGGAGAGATTTATGGATCACTGAAGCTCCGCCTTGGTGAGGAGCACAGGAAGGCAACTCCACAGAATTCATAACAGGAGACAGAGATTCTGTGTAAACAGACCTGGAATGAAACAAAGTGAGCAGAACTCGAGCTGGATCTAAAAAGGGAAAGTACAGGAAGATGAGCGAGACCCCAGTGATCCTGGTGACCACAAAGCAGTGAAGGAGCCAGGAACAAGGGATGGGACTACTCACCAGCCTTATCATTTGGACAGAAAATGCTCACTGAATAGTAAAACCATAGACTAACAACTAGAGTTCCCCCAACCAGCAAGCCTCTGTGAAGATCCCCCCACCTTGCATTTAATCAGGCCAACCCCAATCACCTGGTGAGGGCTGCCAGGAACACCACTGCACCCACCCCCAGCAATTTGTCATGTGAACTCACCATGCCTCCTGCCTGATGACTGGCGATGTACTCTCGTGCCGTCCCCCTGGTGACCAAACGTGCTCCCATGCTTCTTGCCCAGCGACCATTGGTGCATTCCCACACTTTCCACTCAGCAACCAGCAGTGCACTCCTGTGCTGCACAACAGGCCTTGTCCCGGTCCTGTACCATCCTCATGATCGTTGTTATGCTTGAGCCCATTGTTGCAGCCACTGTGTCAATCCATCTTGTTGAGGGTCTTTCTCTTTTTTGCTGACCTTCTGCTTTAGCAAGCGTGATGTCCTTCTCCAGGGACTGATCCCTCCTGATAACATGCCTGGCGCATCCCGACAGGTTCCACCCATGCCCCTGCCCAACGACAAGCAGATGATCCCTGTGCCATCACCCAGTAACCAACTGCGTGTGACGTCACCCATCTCACACCCAGACAGTTCCCGCAGGCTGACTACACATACACTGAGACCCCTCAATCCCCCCCCCCGCCACCTACTGAGATGCCAATTTGTGCATACACAGAGGGCCTAGCCTGTACATTTGGGTAGCACTGCCTCCAAGTGGCTATGAAGATGTCCTGCCTTGCTCTCCAGGGGACTCATTAACTGCTTGCACCAACCCAGAAGGACTACACTGTCCCACAAGAACTATGGTGGGACCCTGACCACCCAACACTTGCTGCTGTACATCAGGGAAAAGACCAGCTCTATACTTCCACTCAGTCCGGCAAGGGAAGACATACGAGTCTAACAACAGAACTCACATGTAGGTGTGACCCACCATACCCACTAACCAAAAACCAAGCTAAACCTGTTCCTGTCAAGTCGATCCCGACTCATAGTGACCCTACAGAACAGAGTAGAACTTCCCCCATAGGGTTTCTAAGGAGTGGCTAGTGTATTTGAACTGCCAACCTTTTGGTTAGCAGCCTGAGCTTTTAACCAGTATGCCACCAGGGCTCCCCATACCCACTGTTGTTGTTGTTAGGTGCTGTCGAGTCAGTTTAAACTCATAGCGACCCCATGTACAACAGAACAAAACACTGCCTGGTCCTGCACCATCCTCATGATCATTACGCGTGAGCCTATTGTTGCAGCCACTGTGTCAACCCATCTTGTTGAGGATCTTCTTCTTTTTCACTGACACTCTACTTTACCAAACATGATGTCCTCCAGGGACTCATCTCTCCTGATAACATGTCCAAAGTATGTGAGATAAAGTCTCGCCATCCTCACTTCTAAGGAACATTCTGACTGTACTTCCAAGACAGATTTGTTCATTCTTTTTGGCAGTCCATGGTGTATTCAATATTCTTCACCAACACCACACCCACTAGTGGGAGGAAATCACACCCAGCCAATCAGCACCACCAAAGTCATCCATAGACCAATACCACAAAACAATAACAATTAAAATAATACAAAGGAAGAAAGACATTCCAAATAGAAAAGAAAAGTAAAGCACCTGATATATCAAAACCAAACAATTAGGACAAAACAAATATGCTACAATCAATAGAGAAATACATAAATAAATAAAATAACACCTAATAATTTG